CTCCATATTGAATTATTACAATGAGCTCGACATGGGGCTGCCCTTGAAGAGTATTCAAAAGCTTTAGCCAGAACATAATGCCACATTGCAGATGTTATCAACACATATTTCACTTCTGTTCCACAAACTGCATTAGCTGCAGGTTTTCTTTCAAGTCCAATTCAAGATGTGGGTTTTAATTTTTAAAGCCCTTCATGGCATGAGACTAGGTTATCTGAGGGACTACCTCTCCTCAGAATAGAATAGAATAGAATTTTATTACAGTCATCGACCAGCAATAGACATACAATAAATTAAAGATAATATTGACATTAATCGTGAATAATAACATCCTTGTTATAAAAATACATGATCTCAAACCATTAGGATCACTCCCTAATTTACATTAGTGGAGAGCCGATAAGTATGTGAGTAAATGTATTTCTCCAAAAAATTGGCACAAGATGACATCTATAATTCTGTAACCAACTTTTTTCTTGTGGACATTGCAGCGACACAGAATTTTGCCACTGCGCGTGTGGTAGCCGGGTTTGAGTCTTGGAGGAGAAAGCCTACATAAAAGCTGTCTGTCCTCCCTGGTAATCTCTCTAGTAAGGGGAGAATATATATTGACCTACATACTCTATATAACTCACAGTACTACCTCTCCTCAATTACATTAGCCCACCCCACTAGATCTGATAAAATAAGCATTGTGTAGGTACCATTGCATTAGGGACATTAATTTGATGGGTCCCATGAAACGTGCTTTTCTACTAAAGGCACCTGCTAATGGCACCTGCCTTATGGAACATTCTTCCCCTCAAAATTAGATTAGCTCCATCCTTTTTGATAATCTGTAAAGCTCTGAAGTCTTGGCTGTTGTCAGGCCGGCAGCTCCCTGGCGATTTGATTTAAATGGCTCAGATGGCTCCATTGTTCAGGTGGCCATTTTAAATCTCCCTCTCTTGTGGTTTCTATCTTTCATACTTATTATCATAAGTATGAACGTGGTTTTTCATATTGTGTATTGTTTTTTATTTTTTATTCTTTTTCTGATTATTATTCGCCACTCAGAGTCACGGAGATGGTAGGTTATATAAATCTGATAAATAAACAAAAGGAGACTCAATGTTTTTCAATATTTAGTTGCAGTGAGATCTGGGAATCTTGTTTCATAAAGAGAAAGGGATGGAAATGGTAGTAAGGCCTTTCATTGCCTTTTCACAAAAGTTGTATTCTTTGTGAACTTTCATCCAAAGTTTTTCTGGGGTGTTTTCCTAGCTGTTTCAGTTTGACAACTGAGACAATATCTGCCAACATCTCTTCATTATTGGATAAGCTACTTGTATAGCTAGAATATGCAACAAAATACTGTGGCAACAAAAACTGAATGCCATGAAAACCTCACAAAACACCTTCTAGTTGTTCTGGAAATCCTGGTGTTGAAAAAGCACCACAATATGTGATGGACAACCTCATACTGTATTCCCTTGGGATAATCTGTAGGAGGATGCTTGTCAACAAAGGTGGGGCTGAAACACATGGATGAGACCAACTATTGTCTCTTTTTCAAATATTCCTTTTTTTATGTCATTCATCATACCTTCTTTCTTTTTCTTTCTCCCAATGTAGAAGGTTGGAAAAATTACTCCTACAATGTGAATGGGCGGCTTTTAAATAAACTCCAGGAATGCATGAAATTAATTTAAGGGCAGCTAAAAGCTTGGTGGCAGCAATTGTTCATTTCTTGCAGTAGAAGCATATAAGTCAGCCGTGAACGTTATTTTACGAATATTCCCTATAATTTTCTGTCCCATGCAGCTAATGTTCAAATATACATTGCTACCAAATATACAATTTCCATTTCAAGTGTGACATATAATACAAGACTCTATTGAAGAAGGAAGAAATGGACAATTGTCCTGGGCTCCATACGTAGAAGAGGCCCTATTGAAAGGATATGTCAGCTAATGGATTGGTTAGCTGGATCTATATTTTGCAACATAAAAGAATATATGTAGCTCTAGTTGAACTACAGGACGAGGAGTCATTGGTGCTCTCTGAGCTTGGGTTGTTTGCTTGCAGATATTTCATTACCCAACTAAGGTAACACCCTAAACACTAATGATATTACTTAGTCGGGTAATGAAACCTCTGCAAGCAAACAACCAAGCTCAGAGAGCATCAAGCATTCCATTATATTTCACATTCAAGGAAGTTTAACGAATCGACTGAAATATACTTTCAAGACTTACTTCAGATATTACACTTCCCTACAAACTCCCATTTATTGGATTTGTTAGACAAAAACAAAAGAAGAAAAATCAAACAGGGAAGCAGGACACAATGAGAAGAAAGTTGAGGACAGAGATCTCAAACCAACATAATGGACCTGGTCTCTCAGAATCTTAAAAAACAACTTAGCCCCGACATCTAAAAATAGAAGGACCATTAAGGTGATTTAGTCAATCCTAGTATTTGGTAAGTATATCTGACAAATATATGTCCACTGATCCAGGATCTGGTGGGGGGGAAAAAAAGCCAATAGTGTAAAGGGAAGCCGAGTCTTTTCTTAAGTAATACCTATAAGATAGTAAAATGGAACAGCTCAAACTCTACTCAAGTTCTCATTATACAGTATTAACTTCTGTAAATATGAACTATTGTATATCTTCAAAAGGATATGTCTGGGTACCATGTGCATCGTGTAATGCTAGTTTTTGCTTCCCTGGCACTGCTTCCCTGGCACTGCCACTTGACAGCTATGATTGCATCTCAGGATAAAGAACAGCAGCTGCTGAAATGTGTCTTTAGACCAGAGCAGGTGCCTCAGATACAGTCTTTAGGAGCTCTTTTTAGCAACACGTGGACAAACAAATTTACCAACATAGTAATCCTGAATTATCTGAACAAGGAGCAATAGCCTGGCTAAACCACATGCATGGAACATTATTCATTTCTCTTCCTTGGCATCTAAACTATAGGTCATGGGTGGGTAAGTTTCAGCACACTCAATTTCATTTTTCATTCTTTGTAAGAAGGGCAAAGGAGTTCAGAAGAGTGGCCAAACTGGTGCTGTTTTGATGGACATGATGGTCAGCAACTAATTAAAGGACTGGTCAGAGCAGGCCAAGGCTCTAAGTTAACTTACCCTTTGTAGCCAGTCTTTTCTTTTCTTTCAAGAATGGTTGCTATTGCTGCCTGTAATTTTTAGAGTTTGCGGAACTTGATAGTGGAGACTGAGCAAAATCCCCATCTAAAATTCTCACATATTTATTATAAACGAGGACTGCATAGCACCATTATGTGGTTGGTTGTTTTGAATTTCATAGGGAAAAAAAGCGGGACTGTACTTCTTGAATAGTTCTGAATAAATATAAAATTTGCTTCAAAACGATACTCCGTGAAATGAATTATTAGTGCAAGACAATTTTGCATGTTTGTTTGCTTCGTGGATAAAGTTAAAAAGAGAAGAGGTGCTCCTAATGGGTAGTCTAAGATTACGTATTGCAATTCTATTTTTCCTAACGAAAGTACCATGGAATACTGAAATCAATATATTAAACGATGGTTCTACAGAGTTAAGATTATGAGCAATACACGTAGTACAATGATCGATTGATAGAGACTGATTATAGTAAAGTTCCTGGGTTTAAGAACCCTGGGATGCACGTGGCTCCAGTAGGTCAGTTGCACATACTCTGCATGTGCCCAGTGGCTCCTTTCCTTACAGCAGTGGGTCTCAACCTTCCTAATGCCGTGACCCTTTAATACAGTTCCTCATGTTGTGGTGACCCCCAACCATAAAATTATTCCTAAAACCATTGAAAATATGTGTTTTCCGATGGTCTTAGGCGACCCTTGTGAAAGGGTTGTTCGACCCCCCAAAGGGGTCCCGACCCACAGGTTGAGAACCACTGCCTTACAGTGACAGAAAAATGTTCTAGGAACTAGCCATGGTCCTGAGAAGAAATTCGGGATTAAATCAGGGTACAAATTAAAGCTTTGAAAGAATCCCAAGGAATGGAGTGGTGATGGAGTTGAATCCAGCATTAAGGAGAGAAACAACTGAATTCTAAGCAAAGATGAATCCAGGCCTTCAGCTGGGAAATGTTTAATTTATCAAAATAATCCTTCTGTATTTGTAGACTCCTGACTAAGTGCGATCAGAAATGTCCAAACACTTCATTAGGAAGTATTCATTATTTTCAAGTTATTTAATTAAAAAAAGGCGCTGTTTTATTAATTACAGAGGGCTCAGCACATTCATAGATATTAAGAAAGACAGAGTTCAGAAATTGGAAGTTTACTCCAGGAACCTATAACCTGAAATTGCACTCACATGCACACCCACAATTGGCTTACAGCCCGCCTTCCAAGAAGCAAGAAGAAAATGTGCTGTGGGTCCATATGAAACAACATGTCCAAACAACATTTTGACTTCTGTCCATCATTTACCTGGACTATTTGGGGGGGGGGGAGAACAGGACAGGTGATTTTCCATCCCTTGTGAGGAAAAAAAGGTACTAAGGAAACTCACCTAAAACATACCTTCAGAGGAGTCAAGAAGGAAGGAGACATACAACAGGTTGCTAAAGTATCTCAGTAGAAGTATCCTTGTTTTGAAAGCTGAATCTCAGGCAGACCATTTCCCGCCGAATACTTAATCCCAGGGTCTCAAGGGAGCGAGACAAATTCTGCCTTCCGCCGCACTTGTACCACGCTCAGAAACACGCTTGTTTATTTCACCAGCATTTCAAATCACAACACACACACACACACACACACTCCTGCCCTGTTTTAAACAGCTCCAATCGTCCCTGGGCCCATCTGGCGTCCTTAGCCTCCCTCCAAAGTTTATTCTCGCTCTCAATTTCTCTTGGGGAAGGGGGTACCTCTGGCCAAACCGAGGAGCGGCGCTCCAAAAAGGGAGCAGTAGCGCACAGTGGTCAAATCCGGCGCTGCTGCCTTGTTATTGGCGGCTGGCTGGGAGGGGGGGCGGCGGTTGAAATACTCACCATTTCTTGCCTGAGGAGGTGAAGTTTGGTCTCCAGTCTTTCCAGCGCGCTGGAGCCGCCGCCGCCGCCACCGCCACCGCCACCGCCAAGCATGGCGGCTCGGGGGGCTCGAGCAGCGGAGAAGCCGGCGACACCAGGCCCTCCGCCGGGCTGCTCCCGGTCTTTTTCCCTGTCGCGGGTGACGGCGGTCTCCTCCCCGCGCAAGGAGCGCGCGAGGCTCTCGGGGACTTTGCGCCCCAGCTTGAGCTCGACGTCCCGCAGGTCGGGCAGGGCGCAATCTTCCATGGCTTTGGGGCGAAGGCGGCTTTTCGGATTAAGGAACAGCGACCGCGGAGGGAGAGGGGGAAGGGGTCCGTGGGGGGGGGGGAGAAGGAAGGGGGTTTGACGAGGAAGACCTAAGCCTTCAGCCGCGCCGCCCGACGCTCGGCGACCTTCCCATGTTCGTCCCGCTGGGGTTGTAATCCACCCCGGCTGCGACTGTCAAGAGGTGGAGCGGGGGACGGGAGCGAGCGGCCAGCCAGCCAGCCAGCCAGGTGACTCGCCGTAGGAGGCAGCCCGAGTGGTCGCCTTGGCCGCTTTCCGGCAGCGGCATTATTTGGCTTGCAAACCCCAGCCCCTGGGTTGCACCGGCGGCGGGCGGGGAGAGGGCGGTTACGGAAAGCGGGCACACTCAAATGAACCTGCGAGGCGTTGTTATTCTTTCATTCGGACTCTTCTGAGCTCGCCTCGGAAGGCAGCCTTGGCCTCGCTTAGCAGCGGCGGAGAATAGCAATAGCAATAACGCTTAGACTTATATACCGCTTCACAGTGCTTTTACAGCCCTCCCTAAGCGGTTTTACAGAGTCAGCCTATTGCCCCCCAACCCCAACAATCTGGGTCCCTCATTTTACCCACCTCGGAAGGATGGAAGGCTGAGTCAACCTTGAGCCTGGTGAGATTCGATCTGCCAAACTACAGTCAGCCAGCAGTCAGCAGAAGTAGCCTGCAAGTACTGCATTCTAACCATTGTGCCACCACAGAGAAGAGGGCAAAAGGGACGTCTTAGGTTGTCATTCCCCCCCCCCCTATTTAGTACAGGTAGTCCTTACAACAGTTCATTTAGGGACTGTTTGAAGTTAACAATGAAAAAAAGTTAACTGAAAAAAGTGACATAACTATTTTTCACACCAGGACCATTGCAGCATCCCCATGGTCCTGGATCATGGGGATCCCCATGGATCAAAATTCAATCCTTTGGCAACTGACTCTTGACCATTGCAGTATCCCGGGGTCATGTGATCACCTTTTGTGACTTTCTAACAAGCAAAACCAATCGGGAAGCCAGATTCGCTTAACAACTGTTGCAAGAGAGGCCCTAAAATGGGGCAAAAACTCACTTAACCAATGTCTTGTTTAGCAACATAAATTTTGGGCTCGTTTGCGGTTGTAAGTCGAGGGTTACATGTAGTCTTGTTTTAATATTAATGTCAGTGCCTTGGATTAAAGCAGGGGTGTCCAACCTTGGCAAATTTAAGACTTGTGGACTTCAAGTCCCAGAAATCTCTAGCCAGCCATTTCCCCATGTGGAATGCGGAATTCTGGGACTTGAAGTCTACAAGTCTTAAAGTTGCCAAGGTTAGACATCCCTGGATTAAAGGCTGTGTTTATGCCTCTGTTCAGAACACATTTTGTAACAATTGTGCTATATTCAGCCTCCATTTTCAGGCAAATTTGTTTCTGGACAGGTACCTGGTTTAAGTTGTCCCCCAAATTGGAAAATTTACATCCCTGCAGCAGAAGGATCAGCCCTTCTACTCTACAGCCTGGAGAAGAGGCCTGTTCCCCTATTTTAGGTTAACCTGCATCTAAATTTTGGCAATGATAAGTTTGATCTCAAAAGACGTATCTTCAATGAAAATAATCAATAAAATCCATTCCTTTTCCATTGCACTTCTAAGGAGAGGTGGTGTAAAAGGCACCTGATTTGTGTTTTGATCTGCTGAACCAGCAATGCCCTTCCTTTGGCTACTCCATTCCATTTGCTTCTCTTGTTTCTCCGCCAGCAATAAACTATTGGAGCGCCTGGGATCACTTGTGTTACTGAATTCTGCAACCTGTCCAGTTTCTTTCAAACGTCTAATACCTTCCCATCTGTGCAGATGGTTCCTAAGAAATCACTCAGGAAATGAGATTTGCAGATTTTCTTAAGATGAAACCCTACTGGGAATTCAGCTGGAGATAATCACCGTCTTAGCTTGTTGTTGTACTATAATACTGTATTATCAAGGGCATTTTCCTGAATCACTCCCAAATTATGGAATGCATTTCCTAAGGAATTGTGCTTCAGTCCAAATTTCCCATCTTCCTTTTGAAACAGAACCTTTTCATTGGATTAGCATTTATTTTAGCTCAAAACCAACAATTAGATTTAATTGTTCCATATTCTCTTTTGGTATTTCTACCCCAAGGAAACTTGACAGTAAATTGAAAGAATAATAAAAAAGATATATTTGAGAGGAAAGAACTAATGAGTTTAAACAATAACAACATAAAAACTCAGCGGAAGTTTTATCTAAACTGGAAACTCATAAACAGTTTCATGTTCTCTCTTCCTTAAAATTCCGGTTGCAAATCCTTTTCTTCAATAAAAAATACATTGCACTGAAGCTTAAGCATTAAACTAGGTATAGGATTTCAAAATTTGATTACATCAAAGCACAGCCATAAATTACATTTTGCATTTCAGATACATGTATATTTGACGGAGTGATAGTTTAACTCTTTCTTCTCTTACTTGAAACAACAACTAGGAAATTCCCATTGGATTTACGAAGACCAGTTTCATAAAACAGATATTTATAGCCCAATGAGGGGTGGGGGGGAAAGGTAACAAATGAAGTTGAAGGACCATACAAAGCTTGTCTCTGATGGTCACCATCTTCCATCCATCTCCAGTCACCAGTAAGCTGGTTTTGCACTTTATGGGCTAGAAAAATGTTCCATTTTATATCATATTTTTTCCAAGTAAGGTAAGAAGACCAGAAACTTGCTTGTTAAAGGCTGCTTCTTTGGTGTACATCCTGGACAGAACTGGTGAATCCATTCATTCATTTATTTTGTTTGTACATTAAGAGTAATTTATTTCCCCAAAGTTGTCTGTAATGATGGAGATATATTGGGGAGCCCAATTCCATTGAGACATGAAAATTAGGTATATTTTAAATTATTTACTTGATAAATTTTTATTTTGTCTTTTTTCCAAGATCTCAAGGTGGCTTAAATGGGGCTCCTAAGTTCATTTTATTTTGAAAGCAACCATGTGGGACAGTTTGGGCTGAGAATGACTGGTCTAAAGCTACCATGTGACTCCCTATGATTAAGGTGGATTTGAAACCAGTCTTCTCTGATCCTAGTTCAACGTTTTAATCACTACACCACATTCGTTCTGCCATCTAGCATTTTTCTGAGAGTTGTCACTCAAAACGTGAGTTTTTAAATTGACATTTATAGGCTCTATTATATGAAGAGAATATGTTGCAGATGTTTGCAGTGCTAGGTGTAATTCAGGACCATTTGTACATTATCTGTCCAGATCCTTGAGCAATTTTCTTTTTTCTTCCTCTTGTGTCTCTCCTTCTTTGCTCACTGCCTCCCAGTGTGGATTGTGAAGATCATTATACAGGTAGTCCTCATTTAGTGACCATAATTGGAACTAGCAACTCAGTTGTTAAGCCAAGCAGTCATTAAGTGAAACAGCACTTTTGCTTTATGATCTTACTTCAGCTTTCCTTTCCATTATAGATATTCCAAGGTCATAAAGATAAGGACTGGTTGCAAAGTTAATTTTTCATCACAGTAATAAATGCAAACAGTTGCTATATGAAACAGTCGCTAAACGAGGACTATCTGTACATGTTTGGTGAGTCAAAATATCCTCTTTCCTGTTTTGACCTAGGCTTCCTTAGAAAGTACAGAACAATCTTAGTCCTGGCAAACCTTTTTAATTCATACGGCTGTGAATTATTGTCATTCCCAGTCCGAAAGGCTTCTCAAACAGTCTTTCAGGGGAGTGTTTACAAACACCCACCTTATCTCCCTTGGAATGTTGCCAAAGAACTAATTGCCACATGCAAGGCAAGGCCAAATGTAGCACAGAGTCAAACAGAACTTTTCCAAAGCTTTTACCGACCAGATGAACTAACTGCTTCCTGCATCCCATTCACTTCTCTTTTATTTCTTATGGGAGGGGCCAATCATCTCCAAGCCTTACTCCCAAGTCGACCCTGTTTTCTTAATTGTTCCTGTCTTCTGCAGCTCTGTGCATGCGCACACTGGGAACAGGCTCCCGCTGTTCTTCTGCCTCACTGATGTCAGATTCTGGAAACTTCGGAGACAGCAAAGAACTACCAGATGGCCTTGGCCCCCTCTCTGCCTCCGACTCAGAGCCCTTGTCCGAGCCTTTCCCATACTCCAGGACTTGCCCACGTTCCTCCCTAACCTCCTCACTGTTCGAATCTGCTGCCAGCTCTGCTGGCCGCTGGTGGGCCACCACATTTCCATAACTGGTTGTAACATAGCATGGCTCATTTTGGCCACACTGATTTCCTGTGTGTCTGACTCACTATGTGTGTTACCCTTATCTAACAATTGGAACTAAATCTTTGGCCTGATATTTGCTCAATGTATCTTTTCTTTTTCCACTCATGGTAAGGAATAAGAGGATTCCTTGAGCACACTGCATGATTGCTAAACTGTGGGGAACAGGCTGAACAACTTTACTTGATCTTTTATTTGTTTTTATCTCACATGGGCTGCCCTTTAAAAGAATAGCAGCTAATCTGCCGTGGCTTACTTTTCTTGAGGCCTCAGCAGTGTATACAAGATGAAAACATGATAGGTTCTTGTCTCAGAAAACAAAATACTGTAATCTGAAACAACACAAGGCATTTAATCTCTTTGCCTAATTAAGGCATACACCCATTTTAAAATAAGCTGTTACAATTTACATACAAAGGCCAAAATACAACGTGACAACAATCAGTCACGTTTACTGTTCCCCAATATTTTTTTTCTAAATAAACATTTTTTTAAGCAATTGTACATGCATTTTAAAACTTTTGCCCTTTTGCTGATCTATAATCACCCCTTTCTCTCTTTCCATACCTGCACACCTCTATAATTACATCCCCTCCTTTTTAGTTTGCAGTTGCCATGGCTACATTAAAAAAAAAAAGCAACAACAAAACTTTGGACACCAAATCCATCTCAATGAATAAGCTCTTTGGGGGTCATTCACTGCATACATGAATGACTGGATACTCAGTGGGGAAAACAGGGCACCGTCCTTGGTCTGAACCTGCAAGCATATTGTTGCTGTCCCTGGTCCACTCTACTCAGAACAGTCTCCCCTTCAGACCCAGCTCTGTTGTGTGTAAAGCACAGCTACAGTGAACTATAAGGTCCTGATTTCCATCCAGTTCTTATCCACATCTCCCACTCCTTTCATCCAAAGTGTTTTCTGGATTTTTTTTTTCTTTCAGTAACAAGCCACACTTCAGCTCCTATTGAATGCACTGCTGGCAGGCATTGCCCTGGGACTACAGGGGAGGGAACATAGCAGTTTCAGTCTAAAGTGGCCAATGAATGTTGGTTTATTCCCAGCCCTGGTGTCAACTGATTACACCTATTGTGACTGTACAGAATAGTAGAGAGCGAACCAGTTTAGTCTGTTGGTTAAGGCACCAGGCTAGAAAATGGGAGACTGTTGAGTTCTA